CCACTGGGACGTCATGTTTAGAGAATAAACGTCTCAGTTTCTCTGAAACTCCCGCCACATATGGAAGGACGACTGGTTTGGGTCTGGGTTTAGGGCAGGGGTGCCCAACCAGTCACTCRCGGGTGACCGGTTGCCCACCAGCTGGTTCCCAGTCGCTCGCGAAGTGCAACCTTGCTCTAACAGCTGACGAGCTGGCAAGGTTGCACTCTGGCCCGGGACTCATGTCCGCTCGCTGAGCTTCATTCTACCTCCAGCAGAAGCAGTGGAGGTGGGTGGCGGGACGAACAACAATTTATATGAATGCACATTATAATATTTCATATCTTTTCAACAATCCAACCTTTAACATTCTCTTAAATATGTACAGTAATTTGGCACTTTTAACATAATTTTCCAGATCATTTCACAATCTCACTCTTATGATTGAGGTGCACCGTTCTTTCAAACTGGTTCTAAATTTAAGTTTCATGAACATCTCTGTCTGTGGATTTTAAACCGTCTGCGTTCAGGAGGAGCAGAATGCCCCCGGTGTCTGCAGCCATCATTTAATTCAGAGGTATGTCAGCTGCTAACTTGTTTTAGAGGTTATGCTTATAATGATTGTTTATTTAGTAGTGAGTATTAAGTTACTGGTAGTTTAATGTGAACCTCATCTGGACTTTAGGCTGCCCTAGTTCTGTGTCATTAGGTGCTGGATGTTTGTTGACGTTAGCCACTATTGCTAGCATTATCTTAACATATAAAACAATATCAGAACAAACACTCACCCTGACAAAAAAAACAAACGATAATCATTGTGGAGCTGTTTGGTACCGAGGTTGTGGATCCACCCGCTGAATAAAAGGTTCTGCACCTCCCGTTGTTTGCCGGCTTTCATCAGCTGTTCGTGTTGTTAGCATCCAGTTAGCGCTACACCGTTTGCCCCGGCAGACCGATAACGGGACCGATTTCCCCGGTAGAGTCCACTCGGTGCTTGATCTTCTTCTCTTCCTTCTTATAATTGAAATAGTGAATCACCTACTTCCTCATCAAAGTCCTCACTCTGTCTCC